TCACTACTTGAAGTTAGGCAACATTAAAAAAAAAAAAAATTAAAAAAATAGAGGAAGCTCCAGAAGGCCCACCTGCTAGGTGGTGGCTATAAAAGGGGACCTAGGAAGAGAGGACTTGGTAACCTTTTAAAATGCAGAAATAATTCCAGTTTGCAGTGACGTATATGCATAGAATAGTTACTGCTTGTTCATTTCCAGAATGAGCAGTAATAGTCAAAGTAAGGAGGGCCATTTGCATCTCGAAAACAATTTGCTGTCGCTGCGTAAAAGTCACCTTCAACACAGTAAATATATTATGTAGGAGTTGCATAATACGTATATTTCACATTTCTGAGAGGATTCGTGAGTAGACCTGGTTTTGCTTTCAGTGGCAGGAGAATACAATGGGGTTCAACCATCATTTAAGATGGATTAAAAAAAAAAATAATGTAACGGGCAACAAAAATCAACTTGTGTTTTACAAGCTAGAACTAGCTTTAAACTAGAGATCGTTGTAGGGGGAAACACATTAGCAGAAATCAACAATTTGGGTTAGACTTAGAAAAACCTACTCAGCTATTAGCTAGCTGAATGGATCAGCTAAAATAGGAAAAAGTGGATTACATCTTACATGACCTATCCCTTACCTACCTACCTTTTCATAGCGCCATACAGCACATGCTGCAGGACATTCCCGATTCATCCCTTTCTGCCAAAACAATTGTATTTTTTTGTCGTGTACTTCCAAGACTCAAACCCCAAATACAGTATTACATTAAGCTGACAAATCACAACATAGACTATTGAAACCCTGAGCACTCCAAATAACAAGCCTGGGTTTTATATCAAAATAGAATTATTAAAAAGACATATTTCCATATGTACCATACATTATATGCTGCTGAGTCAGACAACATTTAAAGTACTACATCCAACCGTGCCAAGCCAAGAGCCTTGGCCAAAAGCCAAGCTGAAACAATGCGGTAAGACAAACGGACAACTGACCTTTACCACTTCTAGCAAACAATCACTTTTTTCCCCTTCCTTCTAGTAAAAGGTCCGAGTGCAATAAGAATCCCAGTTGAAGCGTGACGGCAGGAAGGTAACTTCTCCTGGAAGCAAGGCTCTGGACTGCGACTGACCAGCAAAACTTTTCCCCCCTGCCAGATTCTCCTCCTTTTTCATGGCTTCACTCAGCTCTTGCCCTTTCTTAAACTTCCTTAATGATCCTTATCCCCCACAAGCTTAAGTACTAGGAATGATTTCAAATGTAATAAGAGAAGCCGTAACACTGCCAATGGGGCCCAGCTTTTGTGAATTCTGGCTGTAGGCTAAGAGAAAAAGCACAGAGAAACCCCTGCATCGCTGCGCTGTTTCTCATCGTCCTTCGCTCCCCCCCACCAATAAGCCACATCTCCAGGAAGTCAAAGGAATAAAAAAGTCCAGCGATGGATTTAATATATATACCATGCAAGAGAGTCCTACGAGTGTCTGTTGCTAAAATCATTTCCTTGAAATTTAACAATTTTCACTGGCACTTGTGTAATAAATCACAAGTAATATCCCATCAGACAGACATCGTCAAACTCTCCCTAATTCAACAGTGAAGCACTTCCCAAATGCTTTCAGCCTGTTTTATTCCTCTTTCAGATACTGTCCCACTTCTTCTATTAAGAAAATCTAAGACAAATTTTCTCAGTTAGCCTACTTTCGACCCCCCTCTTATTCCATCCACCTTCTCCTTAGTTCCCTCCACTGCGATTGATCGGCAGCTCGCTCGCTCAGGTGCGAGCCCTCACCCAAGCAACCCCAGAACCAAGCTGTCCTGCTGTCGTTGGAGTTTCGCTGCCGCTCAAGAAGATTTTTAGTATTAGCTGCTGAAACATGGAGCTGCAGCTCCAAGTTTTGCACATGAGCGCAAGCACTGGCAGACCCTTCAACAGCTCTGAGATACAGACAGCAATTTATTGACTATTACCGATTCATTCACATCGAACAAATTTCTGCAGTTCGTATTCTGCTTGTTAACTTCAGAATACCTCCTACCGTTCACGGGGAAATTGATTAGTTTTCTCAGCCCTGATTATCACTTGTCTCATTAAAGAGAGCACACTGTGCTATCCTTCGAAGCAAAATCACTCAAAAATTGCATGACATCAATTTAAGACTGCGTGTCTCTAAAGAGACATTACATGCCTTCCATTAAAACAGTCAGGTTAAATACTACCTGAACACCAGGACAGAACTGCAGCCTTTCTTCCCATGTTTAGTATATAGTTAATATGTTATGAATGGTCAAATAATTCTACCAACACCGAGAAATATTTCCTATTGGAAATTGAAGTTTCGCAATTCTGATTTCTCAAAATCCCAGCTTTCACCTAACAAGTACCTAAAAGAAAAAAAGACAATAGGAACCTGATAGTCCTTCCTTCTTTCTGAAACAAATGCCAATTTTGTTAAGTCTTCTGTAAGATAAATAAACAAACCCACAATACATCACCTTAAACTAACCCAATTTAGACCAGCTATTTCTGACAAGGTTCAAGAAGTAAGAGAATTCCTGCTTCAAATCTAGGGTTCATTAGTATCTCAAACATTTTAAAAGGAAGATGGAATTGCCTCTTTTTTAGGGGGGGTGGGGGAGCGGGGAAGCAAACCCAAACAATGTTGTTTTTAGAACTGGACTCGGTAGTGTTACAGTGTAAAAATCCTTGGGAAGTAAGAACAGCTTCCATAAAGGCTAGAAATAATGAATTTTTATGCAAAACTCAACTAGGAGCCACCCCAACATTCTTTACACATTCCTTAAATTAATAATAATAAAAAAAAATCCATTATCTTAAAGCAAAAGGCGGCAATAAAATATATAGCAACCTTACAGGAAGCAAGAATGTAAACACTTGCAGCACAACGCTGCTAATACTACCCAGTGGCGGAGGTGACTTTTGCCGAGGATGCTGAGGATGCTCCCTCGCCCACACCAGGAGCTCTGCCGAGGGCTTCTGCCAGCTCTGCGCAGCACGCCTGCCTGTCACCGCTGCTCAGCTCCAACACAAACACACTGAGCACACTCCTCAAAACCGATTCATAAAAGCAACAATAACATCTAGAGCTCCTGTCCTTTTCATTCAAGGATCAGATGTGTTCCGTACACATTAGTAGCTTGAGTGGGTTTTTATCACAACGGTATCAGAAATACAGTATGTAAATGTGGCGTTTATGAAATTCCCCAAAAGCCGGACAGACATCTACATGTAAACCATTCCCCTATGAATGTGCCCGGTTCTGTCTAAATAGTTCTGTAAAATAAAAACAGTGCATGAACTTTACAGAAGTATTCTCAAAAGCGATGTTTCCATTATCTACGAGGAATCTGCTTAGTTAAACAGTCACTGAAATTCACCTCCCAAACCCAGAAATAGCTCCTCTTGCTTTGATACAAATGTTAAAACAATTGCCACTGAAGATACAGTGAGAGCAAAATTAAAAAAAAAAACCACCAAAAAACCCCTATGAAAGAAACTCAAAGCAACATGGAAGTTGAACTTCCACACGAAAGGTTAGCACAAAGGATTTCTACTGTCAAAATAAATGATAAGGCACATTCAACATTCATATATCAAAGTGGAATTTATCCACAAATTCCACCTTTCCTTTCTGGATTCCTTACGTTACAAATTGCTTTGAACACTTCAAAGATAAAAAAAAAAAACAACATACGCCTCCACTACAAAAATTAAAAACTATGAAAGAAATTTAAAATGAAAGCAAGTGAAAAGCTGTCTTCCTGAAACAAAGAAGAAATCCTCACACACCTCACTCCAACCGTGGGAAAACAGAGCAAATAATGCGCAGGGAGAGCCCCGGGCCTAGCGGCTAACGCGCTGGGGATCAATTGTCAGTGGGGCAATAACAAAAGAAAGTTAAAACAGATTCTTCATTAAAAGCCTACCATTACTGCTTTTAGACATATGGACTTTAAGAGCCATTTTCTAACTAAAACTCCACAGAAACACAGCAAAAACCTCTTCCTCCATTGAGACCAGGCACCGTGCTTGTGCAAGCGTATGTCAGACAAAGAATAGCCACGGAAAGCACACACCTAGGTGTTCACGCTGAAATCGGAACCCGTCCCCGGCTGCGAGAGGAGACACACACAGATCCCCATTGAGAGCTGCCACCATCGCGCTTACTCTTGAAGGGCACAGAAAAATGTTTTACTTGAACATCTGCACTATTGAATGACTTGTAGAAAACACTACTACAAAGCCACTTGAAATACGCACTAACCAGCTCCCCTAAAATACCCTGCTCACAAAAAACCACCTCTAAGCAAGCCCTCCTCCAGTTCTATTTAAGAGTTAAATTCCAGGTATGTTTAAATCTTACTGCAAATATTCTTATCTCTTTAAATGCAGTTATTAAACAAACTGTTGAGTATTTCCTACTCAGAATCTTCTTGTCCATGTAAGGTAAATGCAATACCAAGCAAAGCTAAAACTCTAGTTCAGCTTAAATGTAATTCTAGAAATTTACCCAGCAACAAAGTTATTTTTGGGCATAACATTTAAGTAACACTAGGAAGAAGAAGAAAAAAAAAAAAAAAAAAAGGCTCCACACAGTGATTGATCCTCTAACCCTTGAGAATGAAGTAGCTTTTGTATACGCTTAAATACTTCCTTCTATACTGCCTTCGGTATGGATCCTCCTACCACGTACTCAATTTGCTCCCTAAGTTACATCTCAGATTTTTTTTTTTTATTATTTTTTAAAGCATACCGGCTCCACTTCTCTTTTCCTCCCTTTAATACCAATAGTTGAGTACTTGGTTAAAAATACTATCGTACTACGGAACAAATACACAGCAGTAATGGCTGACCAGAGCCATCCACGACAAGTGAAAAAGGGATGACTGACTTTGAAAGGAAAAAAACCCAAAAAACCCACAAACCAGCATGCATGCAGTCGTGCTAAACATACTCGCAGTATTTTAATAAAGACCAACGAAAACTAATTACCTTGAATAGCCATTAGAGAAAGCAGGTCTGCCAGAAAGGTTGAGCGTTCCCAACGGAGCTAACGTCTCATCCCCTGATCCCTGGCACCTATTCCAATTTTCTGAACCGGCAGGAAGAGACGGAATGATATTAAAAATTGGTTTCTGATCCTGCTGCTGAGAGAGCGATGCAGTATTTAAATCATAGTGATACATCTGTCCCCCAGAGGTACTGACACCATGGATAGATATGGCAGAGACTTTAGTACCCAGCAGATTAGACCCAGAGAAGTTTGCCTGACAATAAATTGGGCCCATGTTTTCTTGCTTTATGCCAGGAGTACAGAGTTCAATGAAGTCTTCCTTTTCTGTTTTCACTTGAGGCATTGGCATTTTGGAACTGGGTAAAAGGTCACCACGGTCATTAATTTTAGGTTTAGTGTCAGATAAAATAGGAGGCTTGCAGTCTTCACCAAGATTTCCTTCCAGGAGAAATGCATCATCTGCAGATATAGGGGACAGCAAGCCACCGTCATCTAGCAACGGGTCAAGCCTCCACGGGCTCCCATTGGGTTCTTTGCCAGGCGATACCGGCGGCAATTCTAAATCCTGGAGAATGTCCAGGGTGCTTTGGTCTTCAGAGAATAATTTCAAGTTGCCACCATTCGAGCCAACCTGGCTTTGGACTGCAGTTCCTGACTCTAAAGGGACGTTGCGGCCAGCCATGCCTGGGAAATCCGGCTCAAGCGACACCTCGGAAGATATTGCTCCCTTTGTGTCGTCAGCAAGGCTTGAGGACTTGTTCAAGCTCGCAATACTTTCTTCCAGGAGCCTGAAGTCCGTTTCTCCAGAAGAGATGCCGATTTGGCCCTGCTGCGAAAATCCAAGGTCGTTTCCCATCACTTTTGCGTCTGTTTCACCCATGTACAGTCCCATCGAGAGCGACACTGCCTTGGAAAGGTCTGGCTGAGGCACATTGTTTACTAATCCTTTTGAAAAGTCAGCCAAAGCAGGTTGCTGATTGGAATCCGACTGAGAAGACGCGGGGAGAGGAGATGAAGACACAGGGGCTTGTACAGTAGCTCCACCCCTGAAGGGTGGATGAAAGTCCATCACAATCCCTCCTTTGGTACTGATGAGCGCATTTTTCCTTGTTTCGTCTTGATCTGACGAGTTAAGCAATTCTTTGGAATCCATTACTTTAACATTAGCTATAAAAAGATCAGAAGCATTCAAAGTTAGCACAGCGAGGATATTTTAATAACAGCTTAAAAAAAAAAAAGTATAAATCATTAGCCTGGCAAACCTGGTTTAGCTACTCTGAGAATGAAAGCACAGCAAATAAAGCCATGAACTAACACGTGCCACATCCTTCTCAAACCCATTGGTTTTGGATTTTTTGAGGGTTTTTTATTTCTGACCAGTAACAAGGAAATATTTTTTTTTTTTAAAGCTTTGCTAAACCTGGATGAAGCGGTAAGTCTGCCTGCATGCAACTCAGAATCAGGCTACAGCATAAGATGTCTTTCTGAACACACTCTCTAGCTCTGTTACCCATCCTGGCAAGTAAAGAAGCATAAGAATTGTTAATGTATCCAATTTGGAATAACGTATCCACACTTTGGAAGGTGACTATGCCTGGTATTTAACTACATCTCGAGCAGGGCAGAGTAGACAGCATTCACGGCCCTTCCCAAGTCAGTTCCCTCTCCCTGCATCACCCACAACAGGTACAGAAACCTCCCGCGCCAGCTCTCGCACGCGGTACCTACCGGCCAGCCAAGGACTAAGTGGTTTGTTATTGTCCAGGAACTACACCACCTCTCCGTCACAAAACACAGATTTTGCTATCTTTGCATCGGTTCAGCTGAAAATACAACTTCTGAATCTTGAAATGAACTCAATTCTTTAAATAAATCTCAAATTTATAAATAAAGCTAACTAAAAATAAAGTACAATTTTTAGTAGCTTACAACACTTTAACAGCCCACGGCTATTCTCCAAACACATTTAACACTGAAAACAAATCTCCTAAGTTTCATCTGTTTGTATTTACAACATTTATTTTCAGCACAGAGAATAACTGTAAATTCTTAGGCAAACTTTCTATATTGCTTGTCTACGGCCTAACACTAACAGCAAAGAGCCGACAGCCATCAGCTCGCGCTTCCCCCAGTCCCTAAGAGGAGGCAGTGCCCAAGTCAAACCCTGGCCACGGAATTACCCATTAAGCGGAGCGACCCAAGAGCGCTCACAAGTTTATGGTCGTCTTAATTAGAAACCCGCCGGCTCTGCCGCCCATTTTCTCCAGACCGCCGACGAACGCTGCTGCTGCCTTCTGTGTGCCAAAGTTAAGACTGCGATCAACAAAAAGTTCCCACGTGTAAAAATTTTAAGGTGGCCCCGGCCAGCTTCGGCCTGGCTGACGGCGTCCCCAGCGGGAGCAGCTCAACACGAAAACCCTTCTTGCTCCTTCCACACAGCCGCGTACGGCCCCTCGGCAGAGGGTCCCTGCCCGCGCTGGCCGAGGGCTCCCGGGGCTTGCCCGGTTCGCT